TGTTTCCCTAAGCATAAAATTTTTACATATTCAAAGAACTGTTGTACAATGAACAACACTAGAACATGTTATTCAGATTGTGTTAGGTTATTTAGGCTTTTACATTAGTCCTGAAGAAAAATTTAGTGTTCTATTAAGAAATAACTTTTAATTACAAGACAGCACTGTGGTTTGTCAATGTGGTATTTACAAATGGTCTCTGAAGTAAAGTTGGAGTTAGGCCCACCACTTTTTATTGCTTATTTGTTTTGTTTTGGGGTAGAATTAAGCATAGTTTTGGGGTTTAGACATTATGATGGGATTCAAATTGAACATGCTGCATCCCCTCGGGCGGGTTTCAGAAATAACTATCTGGGACAATCTGGTTTGATCCTAGACAAGACACAACATTGAGCCAAATGTCATTCCAGAGTCGCCCACAACCATTTTTTTTAAGATTGATTTATTTTTGCATAGAAGAACTGGGGTGTAGGCCAGAGGTGTGGATGGTGAGAAGCATTCACCAGAGTCAGAGTGGGGGTCAGAACAGGCAGATCTAGTGAAATATATTGCTGAGGGGACAATTAGATTTTATCATTGTTGTCTTAAAAGAATTTGGGGGGTAAGTGGTAGAAGCAAATCTAACACAGGACTAGCTATATTAATATCTGAACTAGTTAATGAAAATTATTTGCAGAGAATTAATTTCATCAAGAAATGAGAGCATTTGAAGAGTCAAATTGCAGAGATGACTAATGACTTGATCTTTTGTCCTGAGGATCTCAATGAAAGATGTGATAAATAAAATTTGAAATATATGACATGCCAGCAGCAAGGCCACACTTCTAGAGGAAAGTGGAAAAGCAGTAAGGACCAATAAGAAGTATAAAGGAAAGTGGAAAAGCAATAAGGACCAATAAGAAGTATATTTGATGATGTAAAATATATGTAAATAAATTATAAAAAATAAGTATATTTGAAACAACTCAAATATAACATCATTTGCTTTTTTTAATTTGAAATTTTCTTTCTTTTCTTTCATTCTGACTTTGCCACACTGTTGCTACTATAATACTTAGGTGTGAGTCCAGTTTTTTGTTTGTTTGTTTGTTTTTTAAAGATTTTATTTATTTATACAAGCACCGGGTACAGTCAGAAGCGCGGGAGGGTGAGAGAATTGACCAGAGTCAGAGCAGGGAGCAGAACAGGCAGAAGGACTGAAGTACACTGCTGAGAGGAGCAGCGGGCGGCAGAAGAGGTCTGCGCACCATGTGGGACCCTCGTCCGGTGGCCGGGGATCGAACTGGCGCTGCAGAGGCTGCGGGCAGCTTCACAACCCAGCACTCAACGGCAGTGCCACCGGGGAGGCCAAGTGTGAGTCCCGTTCTCATGACAAAATAGCAGAAAAAACATGTCATTGGGTGTAAGCAATGACACGTTGGAGTTGGTATTTTGAAGAATTTTTACAAACTGGAGCAGGCAGATAGCTATATATGCTCAGTAGCTCAAGAATTAAATAGAAATTGAGGTCCTGGACCCTCAGAAAATAGCTCGTATCTCCAAGAAAGTTTAATTGATTTGGGAACAAAGTACATACACGTGTATCCCAAAGACAGGAAACTTTGTAAGTGGAAATATTGTGTTAAGAAATAGTCTGAGAGGCTGCAGGTCATATCAAGAGCATTTACCTCTTTCAAGAGTAGTACCTAAGGCCACTAAGAGGGAGTAGGGGAGAAAGGGAGGCAGGAAGGAGAGGGAGGGAGGGAGGTGAAAGGAAGGAAGAGAGACAGATTAGAAAGAGCAACATAGCTGATTTGCTGACTTCTAAATTGAGAATGACAGAAACGATATATGAAAGCTTTCTTTTAAATTTCAACTGCTTCTAGAAAGCAAAGCAGACAAGAGAATCCATAGAAAGTCAGAGAGAAAAAAATCGATTTCATGAAAATAAGAAAACGAGCAGAATCTATCACAAAATGGCAGTAGATTGTCACTTAAGGCAGGGGTTTCCCTCCCGGGCCCCTGTAGCCCAGCAAGCAAAAGCTTCATATGAGGCCTTTACAGAAAGTTTATATAGGAGGCACGTGCATAAACTTGGGTAGTTAGTGCAAATGCAGAGCTCCGTGTAAGGAAAAATCTAGGATTCTAAGACTTCTGTTTGTCAAACAGGCCTCGCATTTGTTCTTTATTAGGAAAAAGAAAAGAAACATTACTACAGAAGTGTATTGGACTACCTGTATTTTAGTTGTCAAGTTTCCAATCTATCATCTAAACTCTGTGGCATCATTCTTTACCCAGTATAAGTGCTGGAGAGGACGAAAATGAACGATGCTTCTCCAAATCAGCATGTGGGTCCACCAACATGACATGTCTTAGTATTTGTAGGAAAACCAGAGTGAGTCCATCTTGTTTTCTTGCCATCTTCCGCCTTTAACCAGTAATTACCCCATCCTGAGAAGACAGCCATCAGCCCTTTGTTTCCTTCATGTGTATTAACATGTACTTGTGATTCATACACAATTCTATTGATCTTAGTATAACAAAGACAAGTGTGACATGACCCCCTGGAGAGCCTATTAGTCTTACATGAAAACGATCCATGTACTAAGCAGGGTATAAGAAGACCTCTGTCAGGGCAGGTGGTATAGTCCTGTGCACCAGCTTCAGTGCTGAGGACCGTGCTCTTCTCGCCATGTAAGCTGCCCTTACAAGCTTTCATTGCCATGTCTGCATCATCTGTGTTTTTATGGCTCTGTTTTCCTTTGTTCCCAGATGGTCCTGTTTATGAGCAAGCTTCATCCTTTTTGATCAGATGCTGAACATTGTAGATGAAAACTTGTAGAGGCTCTGGATGATGTCATATTCTCCCAAGAAGGGTTATGTTTTCTTTTGGTGGGTAGGTGGCGCGCCAGCTGGCCACCTTGGTTCCATCCAGGGTTAATTTTAGCCTTTGTAGAACAGGTCTGTTTCAATTTTGCCCCTTTCCTAGTAATGGCCTGCACTCCAAAGGCATGGCCCTATTCCAAGGTTTAGCTCTTCTGGGATCCAGACAAAAAGTCCTGGTACTTACCAAAACTCATTCTTTCTCTCTCTTGCACTAGATGGCTGAGGAAATTTCTGTTCACTTCTTCAGCCTCCCAGCCTGGAGCCAGTCTAGGATGAGACCAAGAAAGTGCCTGGGGCTAGGTAGCACCCTGAAGGCACCAGCTCTCCTGCCTATTACCTCCCCCTCCTTGTGGTCCTGGTCTCTCTTGCTGTCTCCTGTGGAGTCTTAACATTTACTCACCGAAGTGAGAAGAACTTGTATGAAGATTTGGGGAGTGGGGGACAGGGCCTCTGTTCTCTAGGATTTGTCCAGCAAAGTTTCTATTGTTCTGGTCTCCTGCATTTGTTTCCTCTGCTCAGTGAGATTGCCTATTCTTGTTTGGGGTGGGGGGTGGTCTATTGTCACACCACAGGGAACTGGAAATGCCCTCAGGGAAAAAGCTGGAGTAACTGCCTTGTGCTTTTAACTTCTTACAGGGTTGTTAGCCCCTCAAGTTCCTGGCTGCATCGGTTGCCCAGTTGCCCTTTAAGACATTGATAAAGTTGTTTGTTTTTTTTTAACTTTGTTTTGCCAGATAAGGTTCTTTACTGGTCCATTGGTACATGCTCTGGTTAGTCTCCATTCTGATCTTTTGTTCAAGTTATTTCTTCCATCTCTGGTTTTCTCTCTTCACACTTTCCAAGCCCATCTTTCTGCTCCACGGAATCAATCAGCTCCACTTCCTCAATCTACTCGCACATTTATCAAAAACATTGTTTTTGAGCAATTTTTGACATCACAACAATGACATGATGTTAAGAAAAATGTGTAAAATTCCAAATCCCACATGACATAATCTAATTTTATTTTTAAAATCTATTACTATTGAAAAAATAAGAAAATGAATAAAAATATTAATGGCTACTTCTGAGTAATGGCATTATGGATTTTTAAAGTTTTCTATATACTAAATTAATAAAGTTATTGGTTATTTCAGGTGATGGTGATGGAGGATAAGAGTAGAAATGGTTGGAAAGGAGGCACCACGAGACCACGAACTCATTTTGTTTACACTATAGAATATTACTCAGCTGGGCCTCCCCGGTGGCACAGCGGTTGAGCGGTGGGTTGCGAAGTGCCCGCAGCCTCTGTAGCGCCGGTTCGATTATCGGCTGCTCCCCGCCACTGGAGGAGGGTCCCACATGGTGCGCAGACCTCTCTTGCTGCCCGCTGCTCCCCTCAGCAGTGTACTTCAGTCCTTCTGCCTGCTCTGCTCCCCGCTCTGGCTCTGGTGAATTCTCTCACCCTCCCGAAATTTTGCTTGTATAAATAAATAAATAAATCTTTAAAAAAAAAAAAAAAGAAAATTACTCAGCTATTAAAAAAATATGAACCATGCAACTTACAACAATGAGGGAACTGGAGGGGATAATGTTATGTGAACTAAGTCAGGAGAAAGACAAATATCAGATGGTATTCTACTAATATGTGAGAGAGGAGCAAAACAAAGGGTCAGACAAAACCAAACCAGTAACAAACCCCTGAAATCAGACTGTGTAATTGGGGCTCCAAAATGGGGCAGAAGAGAGGGGAACAAACTGGTCAGGGGACACAATGTATGATGGTGGAGGGGTAACTTGGATGGGAGTGTGGTATGGTGACACCCATCTGAGGAGGTGTTGAGCCTGTGCCTCTGATTCACATACAGTAACCAATGTTAACTCAATTTAAAACCAAAGGTATGCACCTTGGTTCACAGCTGCACAATCCAGGCTGGCTGCTATAGGTCCCATCTTTCCCTTCATTCCGACTTAATTTATTCAACATCTGTGTTGCTGTAAGTTCCATTTTTATAATCACCACATCTGAGGATATGCTAAAACTATTGAATTTGTGCTCAGATTGGTGTAAATACTGCCCAAGGGCCTTTTAACCATTCATTTGTCAATCACACACTTAATGAAAAATTCCCAAAACTCATCATAAATTGCAATCTTATATGTTTTATTTTTAATCAAGTAATATTTTAAACCTCAAAATATCCATAATTGACAGAATAAGATATTAGGGATGAAATGAGAATATAAAATCCATAGTCTGCAGAAAGGCAAACAGTATTTTAGTCCATCAAGATGACTGTACATGAGTAAAATGACATTCCAAACATCTACTTCTTTAAAAAGATACAGTTCAAGTGTTTCAATTTTCACTTGTAAACAACATGAGTCAAAATGGACAATGAGGTAATCTAAATACTACACAGGATAATTTAAAAACGCTAGGCAAAACACCATATTAAAGACATAGAAATCAGTGTTCACTTTGGTCTCTAGTATGGTTACAGCTGATAATACCAAAAAAGCAAAAGACTAATAAGTAAAACCAGCTTTGTGGTGGGTGTCAGTGGTTAATAGATGTGAGTGATTCAAGAGGTAGTCAACACCATCATGTTCAAGCTGGTAACTCTCCTAAGCATTAAGCCACAGATGTATTAAATAGCATAATAGTTTCTCATAGTACTTTACTCTAACTTTGCAGTTTTGAAAAGTGAGTCTCAGGTCAACCTCTGTAACTGAACAACTAAGACACAGATCACACAACCACCACATCTTAAAGAGGCTGTTGACTGCTATGTTAAGACAGAGTGGGATGCTCTTAACAAGTTGTTCCTCCTCTCTAAAACAAATCAATCTCATTAAGACATCTAGAAAATTAAAGTCAGTGCAGCTGCACTTGTACATACTTTCCCAAATTTTATAACCAAAGGGGAAATACAAACATATATTTTATGATAAACATTTCTTAGAGAAAACAGATAAATTAATTTAAATTAACTTTAAGACTTAATGAGATTTCCCATGTCCTGTATAATTCATCTTACAGTGAACGTTACAAAGTCTATTAACACTCATGGGCTTCTATTCACAAACTAAATACAACTAGCAGTAACTTGGGGCCACACGGGTGCAAAATAAAACTAGGCCAGAATGTAAAAAATATATATATTGGCAATAAAAACATCTTATATTTGTAGATGGACAGACGCTAATAACATGACATTTCTCGATCTTTTCCCCTACATTGCACGCCGAACTTCCAAGTTATAAGCAGGTAAAAATCTTCCTAAATTTTTCCATTGTAAAAATACATCCAAAGTCTTCTAGTATAGGCTGGAAATGCAAGTATAAAAATGTTTCTACTATAATCTGCCATGTAGCAATGAAGAGCTTACAGGGCTGAGAGACTGGTAGTGCATCTTTCTTAGGAATTACACTTGTGTTGACATGGGGATGAGGTCAAGGGGTATCTAATTCATAGACCTCCTGCCCAACCCATTAGTAACCCCTGTAAACTGATGCTTCACACAGGCCCTTTCCCTCAGTAGCTAGAAATGGCATTGCACTGTCCGCTCAGTGTTCACTCCTTGGCTAGCCAGTGCTAGTGAATTATGTGCCTAGGACAAGCTGCAATATGCCTGGCTTTTGGGCAGCACACACACAACGAAGGAGACTGGCATCTTTTGCCCAGCATGAATGTACTCATACACCAACCTCTCCTCCTGCTACCCCTTCCTACCCCCAACCTCTGGGCAAAGCAGCGATTTCCAAGATTGCTGTTTTGGAAGAATGCCCACAAGTCTTTAAACTAAATACATGATAACTTTAAGGAGTTGCTTGGAGACTCTGCTAACTAAATGAGACGCTTCCTTATTCAAAAGTATTTGTCAGAAACATGCAGTTGTGAATTGCTATCTATAATCTAGATAAAAAGGTTCTGTACCAGAGAATTATCAGCCACTGTAAGGCTGAAGAAGCAGCAGTAAGGTGTGCTATGCATCAACTATGAGGTAGCCTTTTGTTGTAAACAGAGTATTATTTCACCCATGTAAATGGACGCTGTGCTCACATCAGTGATATTCACATATGCAAGGAGGTCAGGAATTCTGCTTTAAGAGTACTTTTCACATGAAAGAAAAATAGGAGAACTGATACTTGATATCTGGAAATTTTGATTTATGTTAAACTGAGAGGTAGTTACTAATATCAGTACATAATACTTATATAAAGGTCTAAGTTATTTGGCTTGATTTGAGTAAGCAAGACTGTAGACTACTCTGTAAAGAAACAACAACATTATATGGTATGTTCCCTGAGCAAAGTTCTTTGTCCTGAGTATGTTATGTAATAGTGATACTATTCTTATATAAAAAATAAACACCAACTTTTAATCGTATGATAGATTTGGTATGTGCTCTTAGTTCAGTCTGGTAAGATGCTTACAATGATTCTAACTGCACCCATAAGGTCCACAGTAATAACAATGTTTGTTTGTATTTTTAAAACCATGATCTCAGCTCTAAACGTTTTTATGCGTAAACAGGGACTGTCCAATTCACAAGTCCATAATTTTCTATTTCTAGAAAGTCAAGGAACTTTGGTTTGAATATTCAAAGTGACTTATCATGTCTTGCATTTTTACTGTTAACCTGCTTATCATACCTGCTAAAAATTAAGCAATGCCACTTTGATTTGTCTACATAATTTAAATAAGCTTACAATCCTCACAGAAGGCAAGGAAGTACTTCTCTACAGCTATTTCACATTCAATATCGTCAAAGGTAAGCTTTGCATCACAGCACACTGCCATTTCAGTGTACACCGTGGAGATTCTCACCAACACTGTTAGTAAATTCAAGCTGAGTTGTATAGGACTGGTGGCCCAGCCGGAGGCATTTTCTCCTGCAGGGTGACTTGCTGAGACAGCAGCCACTGAGTCTCCCAGGGCAGGGCAAGTGGGGGAGGGAGCAGAAATATAAGTTCAGCAGGGTATGTCTCATTCAAGTCATGCTATTCTCTTTCTTGTTTGATTATCTGAGCTTATGCCAACACTCTCACACAAAACTGCATGCATTGCGGATGTCAAGCATTATAATTAATCGATATCTTTTAGGTGTTTCAGAAATTTACTCAAAACCTCTGGAAGCAGGATGACACCAAAGTGAATTTGTTTCTCATGACTGAAACTTAAAAGGGACCAACACTTGGATTGGTCTACCCAGTTTATTCACTGAGAATCTCTATCCCCATTACTGAAGGTTCATCCTGAATCCATCACACAGGTTACTTCAACATGAGTAATAAATTAACTTTCAATAAACCAATTTTAATGTCTAAAATACTTCCAGCTCTCTGGCAGGAGAGGTTTTGGCACCTCTGCCCCAGGTATACTACTCTGGTTACCTGACACCAATCTGTCCTTTTTAATATCATTCAAAGTCCTATAAAAGTTGGGCAGTTGTGTGCATCCAACTAATTTTTATTCTCAACTGAGATATTTTATTCATATTTGGATGTTTTGTTTGTTTTAGAAACGAGTTAGATAACTCTCCAGGGGGGTGAAAACAGCCACCAAAAATGTACACCAAACAACTGGAGTTTTCCTCCAAGGTCTTCAGTAGTAAAAAAAGGTGGGCCCCCTGCTCAAAGCCATGGTCAGGAAGATTGACTTAGTCAAGAGAAGCTGTTGTTGCCATAACCCCTTAAAAACCTCACAACATATAAAAGATTATAATGCGCTGGTATCAAAATACCACTGAAGAAAATCAAGTCATGACATTTATACATTGCCCTCCCCTTCATTTCTCTTAATAGGCATCTAATTTACAATCAAAACATATGAATTAAAAACATCAAAATATCGGCACAGAAATTACACATTCATTGTCTTTTCTGGAGTTATTATCCCAGATTCAAAAAAGCTTATGGCAGTCAGAGGCATATGGAGTTAAGGTACTGTGTTCAAACAGGGGTAGCAGGAGTAGGGGACACGCTTTACAGATATCAAGAAAAACAGACAATCCCAAACTCGGGAGAACCTTTAGTACCATATGATTGGCAGCTCTGAGATCCGCTGTGTTCCTTTGGTTCACACAAAAGGTTAACAGTCATGTTTTATTGTTATGTGATATAAAGAGAGTGGCATTTCAAGAAAAAACTCCAGTGGTATGTTCAAAAATCATCTAAAACGCTTCCTATGGGTTTTTAATTCTTGAGGATGTCCAATTCTCTGAGGGAGAGTGTGTGCTTGTATCTATATACACACATATATAAAGACAAATCCTCTTTATATATATGTCTACATTCCTATATCAAGTTCTACACACACACACACACTCACACACTCACATACACACAGAGCTCTCTCCCTCTCACACATGCACAAATAGATATACATAGTATCTTACTCACTGAATAACATAAAACATGACACCCTGCTCCAATGTGTTTTGCTTAAGAGTGATTTGTCTGTTTAAAAAACATTCACAGTTCTTCAACAGTAGTTAAAATCCCAGGTCCGCTGCTGTTTGTGAAATACTGTTCCCCTGTACTTGCATGAGGTAGACTTCCCAACTGGGGAAAGACAATACATTAAGAAGGGTTATGTCTTTTTCCTTTTTTGAACGGAAGGCCCCTTTTTGTTTTGTTCTTCTGGCGCTGCAGCTGACTTCGCGGAGGAAGCTTCTAGAGACGACCTGCCCGGCCACTCTGAGATCTCTGAGATCTCGGACCTCGCCTCCTGAGGAAACGGCTGAGACGGGCAGCCCTGCCCTGCCCACGCCTCTCTCAGGCCCACGGACGTGCACGGCGGAGACTCCCCCTCCTGCCTTCCCTGAGAACTGGCGGGCGGCTGCGCAACAGTCTTGTGTGGGCAGTTGGCCACCATGTGCGTGATGCTCTGACAGTAATGGCACTTCTTTGGCTGAGGAGGTAGACTACATTCCTTAGCATGATGATCAAGGCCGCCGCAGTTGTAGCATCTATAACAGGAGTAATGAAAACGTCTTAGAAGTAGGGAGCATGTATCACGAAATAAATGTGACAAATCAAAACCGTACACAAACGGTCTATGAGACCAGCTGTTTTAATGGGCCTTTTTAAAAAGTAGTACTAACTGGTCACATCAGTTGCTTCAAAGACCATCAACGCCAAAATGCTCTAGCAAAGTCACAGAACTAGTTGGATAAGCGCAATGGTCAATAAAAATAAGAGTACGAAAACATGAAAGAACATTGGATGACTTCCACATAGAAGTGACTTTTTTATTTTTTAATTTTTTAAAAAAGAGTTATTTATTTGTGCATACAAGAACTGGGGTATAGGCCAGCGGCGCTGGAGGGTGAGGATTCACCACAGACAGAGCAGGGAGCAGAACAGGCAGACGACCGAAATACACTGCTGAGGGGAGCAGCGGGCGAGACAGGAGAGGTCTGCCGCGCCATGTGGGAATCTCCCTGGCCGGCCGGGAAGCGAAGCCGGGCTGCAGAGGCAGAGGACAGCTTCACAGGGCTGTGCTCAACCCGCTGCACCAAGGGGGAAGGCCCTGACTACTTTTTTAGATTGGACAGCTAGCATATCTGAAAAGAACAGGTAAGCCCACTAGAGGGCAGCCAATATTTAACAAAAACAGCCAGCTAGCTTTACAAAGACAGTTTTAGAAAATACAGCTGTTGACAAAACATGCACTGAGTGATGAAGCGCTCAGCAATTGGGAAAATTACAGGCAGAATGAAAATTTATGAGGTTAACATTTCTTTGGGTGTTACTTATTTTGACTATGGAAACCATGTGAACTAGAAGAATTTTTTCTTCTCTTCACAATTAAGAAGTGTCATGAAATTTAACATGAGAGTCAAATAAATGTCTATACTGGATGATATCTGGCAAATTACCATATAACTTTAGAGCAGAAGAGGATGTGAATCACAAGAATGCTACGTAAGAAATTTCCAGGGCGTCCTGGTGGCACAAGGGGTTAAGTCTCAGCACTATCAAGCTATCAGCAGCCACTGCAGCATTGAGTTCAATCCCTGGCCAGGGAGCTGCTCCGCATAGCACAGCAGACCTCTCCTGTCTCACCTGCTGCTCCCTCAGCAGTGTATTTCAGTGGATCGACCTGTTCTGCTCCCTATTCTGTCTCTGGTGAATCCTCCCCGCACCCTTCCACTCACCTCTGGCCTACACCGTAGTTCTTGCATGCATATAAAAAATTTTTTTTCCAAATACTTACATTGAATTAATAAAGTTTGATGCTCATTCAGTCATGGGGAAATTTTATTATTTTTTTTCTTTCTCTAAGAAATTAGCTGTCTTTTAAGGTAAATTCTTGTAGACTGAAATAAACATAAATCTATCTTAATTAACATCTGGATGCACTTTGGGACATAGCCTTTTAAAAATGTGCCTTGGCAAGTAAACTGTTTGGAAGATACGTATTCGAAGATGCATTTACTCTATTTGGATCAGATTTCTTCTCAAAATTTTATATTAAAAACAAACATCAGAAAGCAGATGAAACTAATGTTTATATTTGCAAAGGTTTTTAATCTACTTGTAGAGTACAAAATTTGCTTAACTAATTTGCCTCCAAGTGAAATGTTTTAAGAGCTTTCCATTTTAAATTTATTTTCAAACACATTTATGACTCCACAATTCTCATTATGAGGCACAATCAATCAATAAGTCACACATTCTAAAACAAATAATAGCAAAATAAGTGGTAACTGTGAGTATTAGTTTAAGACTATAATGACAATAAAGGAATTAATTATACTTTAAGTTGCATATATGTGAGAAAAGCAAGTTAAATAACTTCTATTGCCTTATACTTCAAAGACAAACTACTAAGTTGCTACAAAACTATGAAACTACAAACCTAAACCTACTGAGCAGTAGATGTAGGATATTTACTATTTTATCATATGGGATAAATGAGTGTTTTTTCTTTAATTGGCAAAAAACGAGGGTAACCACAGCCTGCTTCTCCAATTATCAATATAACCTTATAGATTTTAAAATAATGGATTTACAGGGCCTCCCCGGTGGTGCAGCAGTTGAGCGCTGGGTTGCGGGGCTGCCCGCGGCCTCTGCGGCGCCGGTTCGATCCCCGGCTGCTCCCCGGCCACCAGAGGAGGGTCCCACATGGCGCGCAGACCTCTCCTGCCGCCCGCTGCTCCCCTCAGCAGTGTACTTCGGTCCTTCTGCCTGCTCTGCTCCCCACTCTGGCTCTGGTGAATTCTCTCGCCCTCCCGCGCTTCTGACTGTACCCAGTGCATGTATAAACAGAGCAGACAAACAAACAAATAAATAAATAAAACATGCCTCTATAAATAAAAAAATAAATAAATAAATAAAATAAAATAATGGATTTACAAGATGGGTTTGTATTCTTCAAAATAATTAGGAAGAATTTATCCCAGGAAAAAAGAATATGTCATATTTTCAGGAATTGTAGGGGAAAAAAGCAAGAAATTATTTTTTCTGAAAATTACTTGTTGTATAAAGTACATGCCTTTCATCATTAATGAAACACAAATGCAGATTCAACATTGTTTCCATCACAGGTTCTAGGAGAGAACGCAAAATTAAAGAATAATAAAAATCATCTAATGCTTGAAATTCAGGCCCCCCAAATAACACTTAAAAAAGGCATCTTTGAAAAATATAACCATATTACTTATAATAATGTTTTCCCACAAAGTTCCCTTCGATAAAGTGAATTCTTAAATTAAAATTGTTCATCTATAAAATGTCTTCTTTTGAATTAAATTCACTGTCTTGAGGATAACATCCACCCAGAAGCTCATTTTCGAAGAGAGAGAAAATAGGTTAAAGGCTTCGGTAATGGAGCAGGCTCTCCCGTGGACACATCAATTTCTTCACTCACTGTGATATGCACTGTGTTATCCAATTCAGGGAACCATTTTGCCCACTCATTTACCAAGGGCCTGATGTCAGGATTCTACTTTCACAAATGGGGTCTTCCATCATACTCTGTATGTGCATTTACCATTACATTTGGATTTTAAAAGTTATTTTTGGGGACCCTATATTATTTTGGTTTCCTTGAATTTTGATATGCATTGTTAATTCACCCCCTTAGCTTTTCAGATATGTACTATTATTAGGCCAGACTGCCTTCTACAGTGAAAAGATTTGCATTCAGTGTATATGTGCTTTAGCCTTAAAAGGGGAGGAGTGGTATTTATTCTTCTTTTCTATTTAATCAGTTAATGTCAATCACTCTTACTAAGCATGTAGATCACACCCCATTATGAAACCCTTTCCCTCTCAAGGGAATGATACCAAAATGGAAATGTTCAGCTACCTTTCAGTTCACAAATGATACCACACCACATATTCCATACAAGCTCATGTGGCATTAGTCTCCTTTGTTCACTCTCCACACCTCCCCAAATCAGTTTGCTTTTGTTAGTTTAAATGAACTCTATACTGAAAAATTTACACAATTTTATGAAACTGTGTGAGCATAAAAGTGGCAGGTGTGCCAAGGATAGTTACATGCTTAAAAAATACAAAGACATAGATTCACAAGCAAAAGACTATATACAAATAAAACAATAATCATACTTTGGATGTATTCCCATAGCTCAACATAAAAATAAAATTATTCATGCTAGATAGTTTGCAAAATGATGACATTTTAAAAGTGGCACTTTTGAAAAAAATAACACATTATTAATGTTTTCTATAATGGATAAGTGAATTCTTATATAAAATTTTTCATCTATAAAATATCTCCCTTTAAATTAAATTCACAATTAAATGGCACAAGGATTTTTTTCCCCATAAAGACAGAGAAAATAAAAACATTCATATTAATTTTACAACTTTATCAAGTTCTTCATAAAATTACTTTATAAATATTTTATTTCTAACAAGCTAGCGCATTCTACAAGTATTCTTATTTAAGATGCTTTTTACAAAGGAAAATAAAGAACAAGCAAATTGGGGTCAATTTTTTAAGATTATTAAAATAAGATTGAATTTTTAAATAAAAGAATGCCAATAATGAGAACAGTAGATAAGAGAATCTAAAAGGGCAAAATGAAACAAATCTTCTAGATTAAATCTTTAGAACTATTTAATTACATAATGAAAAAAGTAATTATGTGAATTTTAATGAACTAAGCCCAATCACTTATACTTAGTTAATAGGTTAATCAAAATATAGCCAAAGTTCTAAGAGTTCTATAATAAAAATGGAAACTGATTGACAAATAAGAATTTAGATCTCGGGCCTCCCCGCTGGTGCAGCGGTTGAGCACTGGGTTGCGAAGCTGCCCGCAGCCTCTGCAGCGCTGGTTCAATCCCCGGCTGCTCCCCGGCCACCGGAGGAGGGTCCCACATGGCGCGCAGATCTCTCCAGCAGCCCACTGCTCCCCTCAGCAGTGTGCTTCGGTCCTTCTGCCTGCTCTGCTCCCTGCTCTGGCTCTGGTGAATTCTCTCACCCTCCCATGCTTCTGACTGTACCCAGTGCTTGTATAAATAAATAAAATAAAAATAAATAAATCTTAAAAAAAAAAAAGAATTTAGATCTCCAATGATTTTTAGAAAAATCTGATTTTGGAGTCAGAGATAACTAAATAACAAGTATACTTTCAAGTGGCACCACTAATAATGGTTAGAACTGAGCTCAACTAAAGCCAACTAGATTAGAATAGAGACATTAATTTTTAAATGATATCTCAATGAATTAATGAAATAATTCCTCAGTAGTATTTTCCTGCCCAACCCCCAAATTAAACCGGGCAGGGAGTGACACTACAGACAGCCAGATTCTCCTGGCCAAAATAGAATGAGAAAGATGTGACTTAGATGCTTCTGAGTATTTGTAAGTATTTCTATGAACAATTAAGCCCATATTCTTGGGAGTCTGGTGGGATAGTAAGGATTAGGATAGAGTGATCTAAAAAAAAAAAAAAATAGCAAGTAGTATGGTGGTAGAGAGCAGAGTAGA